CATCAACCGAGACTTTTATGTCTAAAAAATGAGCAACACCATCGGGAAAAGTATCAACTGTGAAATTTAAGTTCGGATCGAAACTATTGAACTTAGCTAAAACGGCGGAAATATTGGAAGGTTTTATCAAAACAAGAGTGTCATCAACGTAACGTTTATAGAATTTTATAGTACCATCGGCAATCAACTCGGAAACTATTAATCTTTCAAATTCAGTTAAAATTATATTAGCTAAGACAGGTCCTAATGAAGAACCCATAGAAACGCCGTCTTTTTGGACATAAATTTGCTCGTCAAAAGAAAAGGTAGTTTTGTTGCAACAATCCAAAATGAGTTTTTTCAAAGTGCGTTTTTCCAAAGTGGTTGTAATTAATTCGTCTTTATAAATACGATCTAGAATAATTTTGACTGTGTGGGAAAGTGGAACATTGGTAAAGAGGGATTCAACATCGAAAGAAACGAACTGGTAGCCTTCTTGAAACAAATGTTTGGGAATATTGTTAATATTGGTCACCGCATCAAAAGAATCAGAAAGAGAATGATCGTTTAAAGTAAGAGGATTTAGTAAAGAAGATAAAAATTTTCCAACGTTGTAGTGTGGAGTGTTAGTAGTGTCAATTATTGGTCGGAATTTGGGTAAAGTGTCTTTGGCAAGCCATGTGCTCTGCCAAAATGTGCTGTCATAGGTCTTAGAGCGTCAAGTTGTTCGTCAGTAATTTCATTACGTTTGTGAAGTTTAAGTAGGTAGTTCTGTAAAGAATGAAGTCTAGTTAATGTCGGGTCATAATCCAATTTCTTAAACTTAGAGGAATCAGAAAAAAGAGATTTGATGGAAATTACATAATCAGAGCGATTAATGAGCACAGTGCCATTTCCTTTATCAGGCTTAAGGATGGCAAAAGTTTCGGTTAGTTTGTTTAAAATGTTTATCTTCTTGCGCCCTAGCTTAAACTCCTTCAAGTCAAGATCAATATAATTATAAGTGAAGGAGCGAAGAGAGTTCTTAATCTTATCTTGCACGTATCTTCCTTCCTTGAAAATATTCAAACGTGATACCTGTCTCCAAACGTCTTCAGCCACAGCCATGATTTTTAGTTGGTTAGGTCGAGTTGCCAGGCCATATCTGAGTCCCAACTTCAAAACATCTAGTTCATCGGACGAGAGTGAAGGAGTTTAAGCTAGGGCGCAAGAAGATAAACATTTTAAACAAACTAACCGAAACTTTTGCCATCCTTAAGCCTGATAAAGGAAATGGCATTGTGCTCATTAATCGCTCTGATTATGTAATTTCCATCAAATCTCTTTTTTCTGATTCCTCTATGTTTAAGAAATTGGATTATGACCCGACATTAACTAGACTTCATTCTTTACAGAACTACCTACTTAAACTTCACAAACTTAATGAAATTACTGACGAACAACTTGACGCTCTAAGACCTATGACAGCACATTTTGGCAGAGCACATGGCTTGCCAAAGACATTTTACCCAAATTCCGACCAATAGTTGACACTACTAACACTCCACACTACAACGTTGGAAAATTTTTATCTTCTTTACTAAATCCTCTTACTTTAAACGACCATTCTCTTTCTGATTCTTTTGATGCGGTGACCAATATTAACAATATTCCCAAACATTTGTTTCAAGAAGGCTACCAGTTCGTTTCTTTCGATGTTGAATCCCTCTTTACCAATGTTCCACTTTCCCGCACAGTCAAAATTATTCTAGATCGTATTTATAAAGACGAATTAATTACAACCACTTTGGAAAAACGCACTTTGAAAAAACTCATTTTGGATTGTTGCAACAAAACTGCCTTTTCTTTTGACGAGCAAATTTATGTCCAAAAAGACGGCGTTTCTATGGGTTCTTCATTAGGACCTGTCTTAGCTAATATAATTTTAACTGAATTTGAAAGATTAATAGTTTCCGAGTTGATTGCCGATGGTACTATAAAATTCTATAAACGTTACGTTGATGACACTCTTGTTTTGATAAAACCTTCCAATATTTCCGCCGTTTTAGCTAAGTTCAATAGTTTCGAACTTAAATTTCACAGTTGATACTTTTCCCGATGGTGTTGTTCATTTCTTAGACATAAAAGTCTCGGTTGATGGTACTGACATTTATCATAAGGACACCCACACCGGTTAGTATTCACATTTTTCAAGTTTTGAGCCTTTTCATCGCAAAACTGCATGGGTAAAATCTCTGTTCTACCGGGCTTTTAAAATTTGCAGTTCAAAAACACTTTTCAACAATCAAATTGAAACCATAAAATCTTTTATGTCTTGGAATGGTTATCCTAATGGCGTTAGAAACTTTTTGATTAAAAAGCTTAAAACCAAATATATTGATAATTCTACTTCCGATACCGTTAATCATGACACTGATGATGATATGTTGCCTAAAATTTGGATTCGTATTCCTTATCTCGGGAACCGTGGCGATTTTCTTTTAAAATCATGTCTCAATAAAATACAAAGATTTCTTTCTAAACCGGTTAAGTTCATCACTATTTATGACACTAAAAAACTCTCTTATTTTGTTTCCAACAAAGATAAACTTCCTCCTTTATCTCGTAGTAATCTTGTATACGAGGTCGCTTGCCCTGGTTGTGGCAAAACCTATACTGGCATGACACAAAGATGCCTTTCTGTACGTTTGAAAGAGCATGCAACTAGGCTCTCTTCTAGTGCAGTGCATGGGCCAACATTTTTCTGAATGTGAACATGCTCAATTCTTAGCTACTTTGCAAGACCAGTTCACACTACTCAACGATCTTCCTTTGCCTTCTGACAACTCTTCTCCTATTGTAAACCTTGTTTTCAACAGCTACAGAATACTTCACATTACAAAATCTAACAACTACAACATTCTTGCTTTTCTTGAAGCACTGCTTATCAAACATAACAAACCTTTTCTTAACACTGGACTAAAAGCTAGTAAAGAACTACAACTGTTCACATAACACTTTAACTTAATATCTTCTACTTGTTGGGTTTTCCCTTTCTATCTTATTCCTTTTAATATATTAAACATTGTTGTAAATATAGCGAAATAATCCATTCTCAGTTAATTACTATTTTCTCTATCATGTTTCGCTTCGCTTGGATAATCCTTCTTTCCGCCCACATGACAGATGCTCTCTCTCTGCGTTGTATATATATATATGTTGTAAAGTATTGTATTTCATTCTGTCTGAAGATGACTTTGAAATAAAGTCGAAAATTTACAGTCTCAAACTGCGTCTTGTTTTGAATTATATATTGAATTCTCAAGATGTCCTGTATTTTCGGAATTTGCTTTTTACTTTATTGCAAGACTATATTTTCCTCATTTTACAACATTTCGCAACCAAACTTTGTAATTTTACTAATTTTAGTATGCTCTTTCTAGCTGTGTTGATTTATTTGCATCTTCTTGCCTAGTTTTAAAATTAGTCTATAATTGGAATTGTCTATATTGTAAGTGTCGTAATAATTATGTTTTGTCCAGGATTGTAGCTCGTGAATATCAGTCATCCGTATACGTAGGACAGTACATACAGTGGAACACAAGTCCCAAGAGAAACATAAAATATAAACATAAAATAAAACCCTTCTGGCAGAGGAAATTATATGCAATATTATTGTTTTCTTACATGTATGTTTTAGACGAGTGTTTTTCTGGCCACCAAGCAGTTCATTCTCCTAGTATTAAATGCCTTACTAAAATTGCCAAGGATTTGAAGTTTGACATGAGTGTTGAAGAACTGAAGGAATATCAAGGTGCGTTTAAAGCTATTGCTTGTTTTGCTTATTAAAACAATCCGAAAGATTCCATGGAGGCAAAAAAGGTATTTCCTAATGGAGTTAAGCGACGTGTTCCACCACTGCATTTTAGCGGTTTTCTATTCCACTGTTTTAGAAGTTAGAAGCAGATAAAACCCGAATCTTTAATTTCATTCGATAAAAATCTTTCTTCACCTGCGCGATCGGTTCGCTGTGGTTTAGGCTTTGATAACGGCGATTCATTGCGTAGCAAATCCAAGTGGTACTCAGGAATTTTTCGAGATCCAAGAGGCAGTTTACTTTTGGCAAATATAACGTCTAAATTTTCCGGATCTAGCAGCTTTAATGAGAGCCGAGATGTAAAGTTATTATCTCTTAATGTGTTTGTTAATATTATCTCGTAGCTTTCTTTACCAATCTTTTGTTCGATATTTCCTAAGAAATCCGTCAGTTCTTCGCACGCCATTACATATATATATATATATATATATGTCACACCATGTGTCGACTGAACTTCGGAAGTTCGTTTCGATTTCGAAGTTCGGAAGTTCGCTGCGAAGTTCCCGCCCAACTTCCGAACTTCGAAACGTAACTGGGAACTTGGGAACGAACTTCGCAACCGCGAAAAGTGAACTGAAATCGACGATAATACTTTAATACAATGCGTTGATGGAGAAAAGATTTACCACGAAATTGATCGGCTAGCGCTTGGTGTTGGGATAACGGCCGATAAACTCGAGGATAAACGTATACGATAATCTTCGAATACGACGTTGTTTAGATTTTCCCAAGAAAGTCTAAATCAGGCCAAATCTTTTCTATCATTTGATAGAAAATGTAAGAATGAAATTATAAAACTTTTTTAAAACCATCAACAGCTAATAAGGCCTGAAAATTATTATTCATTATATAATATTGACATGCAGATTTTATTTGACATGCATCTTTATTTATTACATTGACATGCCACGGTAATAATCGCCCGTAAATTAACTCAACTACAGTATTTTGCCTTGAATTTCTTTTTAAATACAAAGTCAACACACTTTTGGGCATTTTGCCAATAATAAACGCTTTCTCGTTTAATATATCGGGTGTCCCAAAAAAAAGTACTCCGATTTGATTCCTAATAACTTCAAAGCGAGTGAAGCAATTAGACTCAAATAACTTTCATTAAATAGAGGAAAGGCTAACTTAGATTTTGATACATTGGATGTAAGTTTTCGCTCATTATTTACTGAGATACTAACGTTTGAATTTATGCAAGTTTTTTATTGATTTTTAAAAATACCCGAAAACAAGTTCAGGAGTAATAAATTTTCTTGAACGGCTTATTCATATTTTGGGTAGTCTCAAACGAACAAAACAAAGTTGACTACAGTTTCTAAGTTTTAATAGGATAAATATGGTAGTTTAAATAATACTGTTCTAGCCATCTTTTTGCGAATACATATTACTGTATCAGCGCTATATTTTTGATACATTTTGTTCCAAGAATGTTGCTTGTCTCTGGGGAGTTGCATGTTATGTTACGTGCAACTTGCAGAATTAAAAACAACATGGCGGATCAAAATCACGAGCTCGTATCTTGTTTTTAATTCTGCAAGTAGCCTGATAACAGACCTAAGTTTCACCCGCCCTAAAATTCGTCGACGGAAAGGGCGAAACGTAGGTCTGATGAAAATGTTGTCAAAAGCGCCTTCCGCCCACTTTGCATTTTGCAATAAAAAAACGATGATGATTGACACATACATGTAATACCTAAAAATACAATGAAAGTTGTCGATTTCACTTTATGACTTTATTGCAAGTTTGTAAACGGCAAAAAACGGCAATTGATAAAACTAGAATAGTGAAGCGAATAGTCGACGAATAGTACGAATAGTCCGCGAATAGTCGACGAATAGTACGAATAGTCCGCGAATAGTCGACGAATAGTACGAATAGTCGACGAATAGTCCGCGAATAGTCGACGAATAGTACGAATAGTCGACGAATAGTGCAATAGAGACTTTGCAAGGCTTTCCACCGTGCTGCAGAACTAAATTTACCGGGGCGGGGGGGGGGGAGGCTCTATTGACAAACATGAAATCGTGAAAACATTCGTTGATGTCAATGACGTCATACGTAATCGGTAAAAATTACGGGACCACTGAGTTTTAACAAATATTTAACAGGAAGTAGAATGACAATCACTAGAATGACGTTTTCCACTGGGCGAATTTGTTCGCGCGAAGCGACAAGTAAAAGAGTAGGAACTGATCCAACTTTTTCGCGGCGAATGTTGTCGCTGACCAATCACATTGCCGAAATTTGGTTTTCGCTTCGCGCGAACAAATTCGCCCAAAAACGGGCTTAAATAATAAATCGATACCTTCTCTTGTTTTCGTGATGTAAATCTACTTCCTGTTAAATATTTGTTAAAACTCAGTGTTCCCGTAATTTTTACCGATTACGTATGACGTCATTGACATCAACAAATGTTTTCACGATTTCATGTTTGTCAATAGAGCCCCTCGCCCCGGTAAATTTAGTTCTGCAGCACGGTGGAAAGCCTTGCCAAGTCTCTATTGCACTATTCGTCGACTATTCGTACTATTCGTCGACTATTCGCGGACTATTCGTACTATTCGTCGACTATTCGCGGACTATTCGTACTATTCGTCGACTATTCACGGACTATTCGTACTATTCGTCGACTATTCGCGGACTATTCGCACTATTCGTCGACTATTCGCGGACTATTCGTACTATTCGTCGACTATTCGCACTATTCGCTTCACTATTCTAGTTTTATCAATTGCCGTTTGTAAACTAGTAAGAGTCGATAAGTACAGATATTCGAATAAATATTTAAAATATTGGTAAACCCATGGAGCCCGTTGCTTTTATAGACTTAAACCTTAGTTTGTAATGAACAGTTACAGCTAGTAATAATACAACATTTTCAACACATTCTATAAATGCGATAAAATCTGCTTACGCAAATTTGGCAATGGCCAATGTGCCATAGTGAATTGCATCCCAACTCTTACAATTTATACATTTGAAATCGCCATACAATGGTAAAATCTAAATAAAATATTTTGTACGTGCTATGTTATCAAAATGTAAATCATGAATGCGCACATATTTGTATTCGAGTTTTACTATGATTTATAATCACAAAACTTAGATCGTGTATAAAAAATTGTGTATTGTATTGTTTATTACAACGGAAAGATACAACGTTGAAGAATTTGGCACGTACTGATCTACTCCCCTCTAGTTTTAATTTTAGACTGTAGATACTGATCATAGACTAGTTGTCGTTCGGCATCACAAAATATTTAGAATATTACACTGTATGCATATTTATATGCGTTGATTTACCGTTGAAAATATTCTGATCTTTTCAAATCTTTTCATGTTAGCGACCAACCAATCACAACCCATTTCCCTGTGAATTAGCCAATCAGCTTTGTCGACTGGCGGTCGACTTACATGCACTTTTGACAACATTTTCATCAGACCTACGTTTCGCCCTTCGTCGACCCGCGAATTTTAGGGCAGGCGAAACGTAGGTCTGTTATCACGCTATTCTGCAAGTTGCACGCATGCGCAAATTTTCCTATTCAGGCGCGCTTAAGGAGGCTCCCTACAGTTGCGTGCGGGATGTTCGCGGGACCAGTACGTGAACTATCCCACGCAACCGCATGATCAAAACAAAACAAAATATTTTTTTTAAAAAAAAGCTATTTCTGAAAGGTTTCTAATGGGAAAAAGCGTTGAATAATACTTCGTTTTGAGTGCCAAATTACTTGCGAGTCTATACAGCAATTCTACATATGATACGAATACCACTACACCAAAAATAGCTACGAAACAATGTTTTTAAAATATACATTGTCAACTGTAAAACATTTGCAAAATTGCATACAAACGTTTAAAAAGTTGTTTACTTCTCAAGAAAACGTTCACGTTTTTAGTCGTGTTTCTACAAGATTAAAGTGATTATATGTAAACTGAGAAAAATATTTCAGTTTCATAGCCTAATTGTTCATTTTTAGCAAAAAGTACAAAACCAAACATGAAACAAAAAAACACGTCCACCTGTTAATAGGCTGTTACAGCTCATAGATTGAGTAAACGGCAGGATTCAATTAGCTTCAACCTTGTTTTCATCGATTTAATCCTTCTCAATAATCCTTGGCTGTCCATAGCACTCAAATAAATCAAAAAGTTGACAAAAACAAAACAGTAAAAACAACATTGCGGCTCGATTTTGCTGAATGAAAACTCGTTCTGCGCCCGCGTACAATCTTTTACTAGTCAGCGACGCTTTTCAATAAGGGAATTTCTCGAGTTACACGAGGCTATTTTCTAACTTTATTTGCATTTTACTCATTAGTTTCATCGGTGACCTATCTTCAAATTTTGACCACGAATTTATTTTGCGGTAAATTTTATAAATTTCAAATTTTAAAAAAATCTGTAGTGTGGAAATTTCGCAATAAATTTTTCGCTTTTAAAAAAATCACACACTACAGAATTTTTTAAACTTTCACCACAGTTGCAGAGCATCATTCCTTATTGATATATGAAATAAAAAAGATAGGTCACCGACATCGTTTTTGAGATAGCGGCACATTTATGGGTTAAATTGGAAGGTTTTATGCTGTCGTCATGTTGCCATGGGAACATTGACATCGTCGAAATCTAGTTC